TGGATTTTTCTAACTTTTGCATTGCAAGAAGGTTGTTTTCAAAAGGTTTGATAAGGTGAGTGATTTCTATACCTTTTTGCATAAAATTTGTTACTGGTTTTATTTGAATGTTGTTTATTATTGGAAAGAAATCAATTATTTGCTTAAGGGTTTTATTCGGATAAAGGGTAATCAGATTAAGTCTAAATCGGACAGGCCTTGGGCGGTATATTGCCCGGATTATTCTTAAATCAGACAAGGGTTGGGCGATTAAGCCCTAAACCGGTCAAGTGTTAAGCGGTTTAGTTTTAAACCGGTCAAGCGTTGAGCGATTTATGAATGTTAAAGTATAGTAAACATTTTGAACGGAGAAGTATGAATACGACCATGTGGTGACCGGATTATTTTAAATCGGTCAAACTTTGGACGATATGTTGTCCGGACTTCTTATTCGAACAAAAGTATTGGAATTTATTCTAAGTGTTAAATCGGACAAGCCTTGAGCGATGTGTTGTCCGAATTTAATAAACCGGCCAAGAATTTGACCGGAGATGAAGTTCGGCCAAGCCAAATTGACCGGATTTGTATTATGCCTTGTGCTTGATTGATGAAAATTATTATTTTATCATAAAATGAAGAATTTGTTATAAATGATTTTGGATTGATAATAATTCCATTTATTGCGGTCTATTTAAAATTATTTTTGTAAAAGGTTTTGATGAGGAAATAAGGGTGACATATCAAGGAGAGGTGTACCATGGGATAAGGGTGGCATATCAAGGAGAGGTGTACATTTGATATAAGGGTGGCATTTAACTCTTTCTATTATATCCCTTAAGACTACCATGGTCTGGAATCTTTATTTCTTTATGACTTATAGATTTAGAATCAAGGTTCTTATTGGAAATCATAGTCTGGATGTTATTGAGGAGAAAATAACAGGTTTGGCCTGAAACTTTAAATAAACATTGTTTGATTAGAAAAGGTTTAAAAGTGACATTATATGAAACCTGGATGGTTCAAAAATATGTGATTTGAATAGCTGAATGTTTAGCTTGAAAAGTGAAAAGGATCTGGTAATATGTCCCTCTTTATTAATATATTTGTTTTATATATATATATATATATATATATATATGTGTGTGTGTGTGTGTGTGTGTGTGTGAAAAGTTGTTTTCCATAAAGGTTTTGGTGATTTTCACCCTGCAATAACATAAATAGGGTATCTCACTAGATCGTTCGATCTAACCCTCGTTTTGTGATTTTACTTATGTATTGCAGGAGGTCCGGACGGTAAGGGAAAGGGGAAAATGTGATATTTTCCTATATGCATTTCTGCATGAAGAACTGTCTTTGATGTACAGTTTTGATTGATGAATGTTGATTAGTACAAGAAATGTAATTGAATTTTTGGACCTTGTATTCTGTAATGATAGATTCTTGTACTAAGGGACCTAAATGGTATATAAACATGTATTTTTTCTATATGAAATGTATTACTTGCAATGTGTGGTAAGGGGTGTTACATTAGGTCAAAATATTATTGATTCTGAGATCATCGAGCTTAAAGATTGAAGAGGTCAAAGCTCAAAGTCAACAAAAATCAAGATTATGCTTAATTATAGTTTGACTTTGTTATTAGTCAACCATATACATAACTTGGAAAAGATATAGATGTGTATATTGTAATACTATAGAGAGAGAGAGAGAGAAACCTCTCTCTTAGAGAGTTTATCCATATACATGATGATTTGATCTCTAGATCATTGCTTCTTATTGTTTAATTCATAGTTTTATTCGTTCCAAACTGGAATTAACACATCTTAATATGCATCTAAGAGTAGAGATATTCTTTTACATTTCTCATCAAAACTCAACCCTGTTAATCAAATGTTTTTCACTTTTTCAAATGTAATTCAAAATGTTTTATAATTCTAATCTCAAGGTTCTTTTTACTTTTCTATTTTAACCCTCTTGATTTGGAAGAGAGTGAAGACAAAACAAAATGAAAAAGTATATAATTAACTTTTTTGAATAGTAATAATAATTCATCATATAACTCGTTTTTAAAATAATAGTAGAAATTAAAATAATATGAAAATATTAATATAAAATATTTTTGTATTTAATAAATTATTAGAACTCATAAATACATTGAGAAAAAAATAAAAAAAATGAAATATAAAAACCCTAAAAACTAGGCAAATTATATTAAAACTAAAATTTATAAAAATACATGTGAAGAATATATTTAAATAATGTAAAATAGTGTATATAGTAGCATCTTATATAATATTGAAAGTTTTCACCTTTTTACAAAATATTTAACTTGTTGCATAATTTTTCCTCTTTTAAACTAATAACACATAAGAGCAATTAAGAATAAAACATAACCTAAATCAAGAAATGAAAATCGACCATTTTCATATATTTTATATAATTAATCATAAAACTATTAATTAATTTTTAAAATATGTTTTTAGTTTTTAGTTAAATTTCCCGTTTCAGATTTCAAAATCTTTCAGTTGTATCACACATATGACATAATCACAAACCCTAATCTAGAAGAGTGGCAACTAGGGGTGCTCAAAAACCCGATCAACCCAGCGCGAAATAACCCAATCTAAAGCAACCCGATGTCTAATCGAGTTGTAAAATTATCAAACCGTAGGTATTGGGTTGATATTGTGTTACTATTATTTAAACTCAACTCAACCCGATGAACCCAATATCATTTTATTCTTGGATTTAATATGATTATTAAAATTCTATTAATATATACATTAGACAATTACACTATCATGTATGTTTTTTATATACACATATTTTCAATCTATTCACATCTCTATATAACTCATTCGTATATATATTCAGTAACTGTGAACATATATATGTAAATTGAGAAAATTAACTGAATGTGATATGCGTAAGAAATATGGATAAGTTGTATCAAATGATTGATGATGGAAAAAAATTATGAGTTCGGAAATAACATATTCATGGTTAGAATAATATTTTAATTTATCAAAGTATCAACCCGACCAACCCGTATGGGTTGGGTTGGGTTGGGTTGCACTTTGGTTTGGGTTGGATTGGGTTAAGATTTCTCAAACCACAAGCATTGGGTTGGGTCTTCAATTAGATCAATCCAACTCATGAGTATCCCTAGTGACAGCCATGAACAATGATGACGCATTAAAATAAAATTTTGGGTTTTATAGGTCAAAAGTATAAATACCTTAATAAATGATTTTATAGCACAAAATCAATTATATATCTTATATAAAAATGTTACAATAAGTATCTAAAACGTTCTTAAACGTCTTAATAAGTATTCTTGGACACTTTTATAGTAAATCATCCTATTAATTTTTTTTAATATAACATTATTTGATGATGTCTTGTTAAAAAATTAACATAACACTTTTAAAAGTATCATAAAAATGATATAAAATTATTGTAACATTTTTACATATAAAGATTAATTGTTTGGTTTTATAACTTAAATCCTATAAAAACAGTCTATTAAACTTTTTAGAATACTAAAAACCCGATTTTTTGTTACTAAGGATAACCATTGATGATTGGTTTTTCGTTCATCAGCATTATTTTATTTATGTTTATTTAGTGACGTTTGTTTATGTCCATTTATGTTCGTTTAACGTTTTAATAAACGAACATAAACAAAAATGAAAAAAAAATCAAGCATTTACAAACGTGTTCATATTTATCTGTTTATTCGGTTAAATTAAACAAACAAGCATTTACTAAATTATACATTATCATCTACCATTTTAGAAAGACACTTTACATGGTTCCTTGGAGTATTTCTAATTATATCCTGTATAATTTACATAAATACTTTATCTTTTTTAAATCATTCTACATTATCAACTACAATAGCTAGCCTCACAAACATAGCCATAGTACAACAAAGAGTTGTACCATAGACATCCAAGATTGTACATTCACAAGATGAGTGGTCAATGGTGTATCTTATTCATACCTCTTTCTACAAGAGCGTTGTAAATGTTTTACAACGCTCTTGTAGAAAAAGGTGTTATTATATGCACTTTATTTATGTTAAAATCAGGTCAAATCATACATTGAAAAAGGTAAAAAGTAATTTTGATGCTAATCTGTGTAAGAAGATTAGTAGATAAAGATGTTATTAGCAATGTAGGTAAGAAATGAAGTGGTATGTGAATGAGAAAGATGGGAATGAATAACCACCCCAATGATCAAATATGAGATGAGCAGATACAGTGGTAATTAATGTGTACTGTTATGGTACCAGTCCAGTACTTGTCAGTTTACACAATATACACTCATAATTTGTACCATGACCCCATCTCATAATTGAGAAAAAGAAAAACATGCCAAAACAGAAAAGCCACTAATACCTATGACACCATAAGGCCCCACCCACACAAATGAGGTAAATACTTTTTTTTTTTAAATAACGCAATAATGACTTGTACCACAGGCTGTAAAAGTTGTAACCTGTGATTGGAGCCAGGAAGTCTGAGAGTGAAAGCAGTGTGGTACCCTGAGATACCATTCAAATGGGTTGTCAGCACCCATGTGACAATGTGGACCTCTCCCTTCATGTCCACCCTTAAAGAAACCAAGAATGAGACAAAAGACTCTCCTAGCCTATCCTTTAATCAACATAAAGAACACCCCTTTTCACCCACCAACTTCACCTTTCTTTCTTTCGGAGGGTATTTTCGTCATTTATCACACATTTCTCAGATACCCATCTGTGTTGATCTCAAAAAGATATGACCAAACGAAACTAAGGCTGTTCATTGATCATTCACACACAAAAAGAGATACCAAAAATGACATCTTTACCCCTTTTGGGGTCTATACATCTTTTTAATAGTCATGCTTCAGAGGGTGTTTTCGTCATTAACCACACACTTACCCATCTGCGTTGATCTCAGAAAGATGACTAATCAAAACCAAAGCTGTTCATTGATCATTCACACACAAAAAGAGATGGCAGAAATGACAGCTTTACCCTTTTGGGGTCAATATATCTTTTTAATAGACATGCTTGCTTACCCTCAATCTACTCTACTCTACTCCATATGTACACGCAAGTACATCAACCATTCACATGCTATTTATCACCTCAAAAGGAACTAGAGGGTAAAATTGACATTAGCTTCAACTACTAGTATATAACTCAAAAAAGAGAAGTAATTACTGCTACTAACCACTAGCTTTTACTTTGCAAATGTTATGCTATGGTGCTTGAGTCTTTGTGAAGGTGGTGGGTGGTGGGGGGGATCCAGCACATAACTAAAGGGAGGGTACCAAAGTTCACAAAGAAATATACCCTACTCCCATAAAATCTTCTTTTTTTTATGTATTGCATATTATGTATGGGTGTAAGTAGTATGGGGGATAACGAAGATGACAGTAATCTTGAGATCTTCCTTACAGATCTTTTCTTTTTTTGTTGTTGTTGGTGGTGTTTTCACCTATACAGCTTGAGAGGATCTTTCTCTCTCTGCTCCTACTCTTCAACTTTCTGCAGAAAACAGAAAAAAGGTCAGTATAAAAAGCAAATAATAATTCAACATAAAAACATAATTGAGATAATCTTACCAAAGCTATGTTAAAATCCCTCCATTCTGACCATTGCACAATCTAACATCACCTACATTTCAATGGCTTCTTGCCCACAAAAAGACCTGGTAAATATTAACAAATCCCAATTGAACCATTCTCCCATTTTGCAATTAAAAAAAGCCAAGATATTTGCAGGAAACTTTTAAGGGGAAGAAAGCAATGCATGTGTTGTATTGTTCTTTTACCTTGGCATTTGAAAGTAACATGATTTGAGAGAAGCCATGTTAAGAGCGGCTGAATTGGCAGGTAGCACCGGTGTAGTGTCAGAGGAAGAGGATGGTGCGGAAACACCACCATCGGCTTCTGGCATAGAGAAGATGGACTGGTGGTCTGTGGCGGTCGTCTTTGTAGGTGAAGCAAACAAGTTATCTGGAAGGATGTGCTCAAAGCTGCCATTCACACAAGAAATAAGACCTTTATAACCCCAAAACAAAAACTTAAATAATTATTTACAATTGCAGTAGATCAAAATCCAACCTTTCATGGTTATAAATTTCACTAAGATTGGAGTTCTCCTCCTTCTCACTGCTATTGCCACTATTGTTCCCATCATCATCATTTACTTCTAGTGGCATTTTGAGATCAGAGGCATTGGTTATAGGATCCATAGTACTACCTTGGGTGCCACTGCCATTAACATCTGCTACACCATAGTCATCATCAATAAAGGATGACCGGAAAAATGAAACCATAATGCAAAGGACAAGGAAGATAATTTACCTCCAGAAACAACATTTTCATTGTTGCCATCTGATGAAAGCAGGAGACTTTGGTTGGTTTGAGCATGACAAAGAGTTGGTGAAGAAACAGGGGCTAAGTTATGATGAAGCTGATGGTTATTGAGATCGGTTAACTGCATATTCATCAACTTCCTGTCCTGGAGATCAATTGCCTGTTGCAATTCAGCCCGCCCCTCTAGTTTTCTTCTCAACATCATCTCATGATTAAACATCCTTGCACCTACTTAGAGTAACAATTCAACATCACACGTGTACTATAAAGATAACGTGGCAAAACTGAATGATAAGAACATATTACTTCTCTACTCACCAAAGGGTATATGATCAAATGGCTCAGCAGATTCAAGCACAGACGGACTCAAACAACCAGAAAAATCCCCTCTCTCAATTTGCTGCTGATGCTTCCTATAAAACGAAATTCAGAGGCAAAAATTCAACAAATTAAGAACAGGACAAACACAATAAAACAAGAGAAAGCAATGGTGAAAAGCATACTTGTCTGGGATTTTTCCCTTCTCCTTGTAGGGCTTAACAAGAACACGTGAATCACATACAAAGTGAGGGTTCCCTTTGGCCAAAATAGCCTTCACAGTGTCTGGGAGAACAAATGTAACAAACCCAAACATCCGCTTCTGTTGGTATGGAATCCTCACATCTTGAACTGGTCCAAAGATACTTCAGAACATAAAAGAAATCTTTTATTTCTTAAAAGAAAAAGGAGTATAGTATAGTCAACAGTCCTCAATTACAAAATGGGACAAGAGAACATGCACTTAAACAGATAAATTACCTAAAGTAATTAGAAACGTCTTCTTCCTTAAAAGTACTATCAGCTGGAAATGTCAAGTAAATTTGTCGTGAACTTGAACTTGAATTTCCCAACCCCATTGCAGCAAGATCATGCCTATCCGGTCGAAATCGACCAAACTTGTGAAAGTCTTCCCCCATCATCAATGCTGCTGATGGTGATCTAGAAAAGCAGCATAGTTCCAACATCAAACACAAGAAATCAATTCCAATTCGAGATTTCTAATCAATCACCAAACCTTTTGTCCTACATTACCTACAAGATTGAGCTCTAACTAGCAAAATGTTAGATATAATTGTTGCCAAGATAAGGTATTTAATGTTCCACAACAAATATAACATAACATTTACCAACCAACACAAGGAAAGACGTCTATTTTGAATTACTCACTCCATTTCAAGAACATGCAAACAAAAAGAACAACCCTTTTTAAAATAAAATTAACAAACAAGTATTTGCAGCATGGTTATTTGAAATTCCTGTTATTTTTTCTGTATCTCTCTTCATAACTTGTCAAGAAGGAATCTAACACACAACCCAAAAATCCCCTTCTCTTCTTTTAAGGGAAATTTTACTTCTGGCTTAACAAATAAGGAAGCAAAATTTAGTATGGTAGTCACAAGAAAATATACCTAGGACTCTCATTGAGAAAGTTCATGCATCTGCTGAAAGGGAAAGGATGAGCTCCTCCTGCAGCCATGGCTGCAATTCTCTGCTGCTGCTGAATTGCTTTAATCCTCAGGAACTCTTCAATCTTATCAATATTTCCTGTAGGAGACCCAACAACTGCAGTAGGTGATGATGAACCCAAACACATTTCATCTCCAAAACCCCCATTTCCATGAGCAAACTTGCAAGAAGTGCCATTTTTGCAAAACCCTCGAGCAAAATACATGCAAGGCCTCCAACCTCCTAATCCACTACCTACATCATCACTTCCACCACCACCGCCAAGAAACATATCATTTACCGAGCAACTTCTCCTGTGCAAATGGTGGTGTGCATCTCCACAATTACCTGCATCTGCAGCCCAATCGGTACTGCTATTCGGGTACGGGAACAGAATCGAGTCACTCCGCCCACCAGGACTCATAATCGGGTCCATGAAGTCGACATTTTTAGAGTTGTCAAGAAACGAAAGCTGATCCGTAACAACTTGTAGCCCGCTATTACTACTATAATCCTCTGTGACATCACCAAAATTGTTGTAAAATGAACCAGAGGAGCCGCCGCCGTTAACCACGGAGGCGTATGAAGCTGCACGCGGACTGCTTCGACGATCCGGGAAAGAGCCAGATGACGACCAAGGCGAATGAGGGGAAAGAGGAGGCGGGGGGTTCATGTGATGAAACCCATTATTTGGGATGATGATTCTAGGGGATCTTTGGTGACCAAAAGGCGACGGAGACGACGGTGCAGACGAAGTGTTTGACGAAATGTCTAAAAAAGCTTTGGCTTGTTTTATAACAGAAGCAAGAAGATTTTCAGGGCCAAAAGCTAACCTTATCATCTCATTCTCACCTTGGTCTTGTATGAGTATATAACCCATGATTTTGGAAGCGTTTTCTGGATCTATGTTCTGGATCCTTGACATCACCATTTTAGTAGCTTCGATTGTATCCATGGTGCTTGAAGCAGAGTCTCTCACTCACTACTGAACCACCCTTTGAAAAGGGGTTGTTTTCTTCGACTCTCTCTCCACGAAAAGCTTTGATTTTTAGAGAGAGAAAGAGGGGGGAATAAAGACGGAAGAGGTAGGGTTTTTTAAATAGCGAGTAAAAACCTTTTACTTAATTTACAGAGAGAAGAAGCAAGAAAGAGAGAGATTGGAACGAAGCCCTTTTTTGGTGATTATGTTTATCTTTACTATAAATCATCATATCATATGCCTTAAATTAATTGATAACTATTCTCAAATATTAAGTTTTATTAAAATCTTTTCTTTTCTTTTTTTGAAATTATATTAACAATTGATATAGAAAATCATAAAAACCGTCGCTTCTTATTAATCATAATCCCTTTAAAAAGAAGTGTTACAAAGAGATAACTATGAGATACATAATTCTAATTTAACTTTAATATATTTCTCTCTCTCTATCTCTATATTATTATATATCACTATTGTCATATCATTTTTTATGATAGCACATTTATCCTTCAACACTCCTCCTATGCTGAGTCAAAAAAGTGATAGTGCACTATTGTTGCCTCGTTAAAACCTTACATCAAAATAAAAATCCCATGGGAATAAATAGGACGAAGGAAAGAATACAACGCACCCGTTTATAGACTATTCTTGTAGTCTAGTATTCCCTCGTATTGGTACATCAAGCACAAGAGTTAAGGAAAACAAGATGGTGTTTGAATTATTGTCTCACTAAAACCTTACACCAAGGAACAAAACCCAATGAGAAAAATAAAATATCAAGAGCACAATGATTCCAATATCATATGTATGGTAGACTCCCCTTTTTGTCTACCACTCCCCTGATTCTTACATTAATCAAGGGAGTTTGGAAAGTTTCCACATTCCAATGTTTTACACATGTTTCTCAAATGTGGTCTTAGGTAATGATTTGGTAAACAAATCGGCCACGTTTTCCTCAGACCTTACTTGATTCCCTTGAATCTTAAGGAGAGTCTGTTGTTGATTATAGAATAAATTTGGCGACATATGTTTTGTATTATCACCCTTGATATATCTCACATTCATTTGTTCGATACAAGTTGTATTATCTTCATATATGCATGTAGGATTTTGAGTGGTTGAACTTAAACCGCTAGCTCCTCTTATATGTGTAATGATAGACCTTAGCCATATACACTCTCGAACTGCCTCATGTAGAGCAATAATCTCTTAATGGTTCGAGGAGGTAGCTACAAGGGTTTGCTTAGTAGATTTCCAAGAAATCGTCGTGTTTCCAGTTGTAAAAACATATCATGTTTGGGAATAACCTTTGTGTGGATCAGAAAGATACCCAGCATCAGCAAAGCCTACTAATATACCGTTTTGGGTTTCACTGTAAGGGATAACGTTTTCATTGTTAATACCTTTAATAGGTATCATAACCCCATTTTTATCTTTGCAGGGAAAGAATAAGCCCATGTCGATGGTTCCTATTAGGTATCGAAATATATTCTTGATACCATTCCAATGACGTTCGTTGGCTCTGAGCAAAATATAGCTAACAAGTTCACTGAGAATGCAATATCTAATCGAGTACATCGTGCTAAGTACCATAATGTGCCTATTACACTTAGATAAGGAATTTCAGCTCCCAACACCTCTTCGTCATCATCCTTTGGACAATATGGATCTTTCCTTATATCCAAGTTTCGACCGATCATGGGGTGCTAGCCGGATGTGCTTTATCCATATTAAATCACCTGAACATTTTCTAGATATAAGTGGATTAGTGGATGAGGACTCTACAAGCTCGGTGTTCTAATTCTATACCTAGACAAAACCAAGTTTTTTCAAGATCTTTCATCTCAAATTCAGATTTTAAATAGCTTTCAGTGTCTCTTATTTCATCAAGAGTACCTATTATGTTCACATCATCAACATAAACAACTATGAATGAAAATCCAGAACTTGTTTTTTTTATAAAAATGCAAGAGCACGATTCATTGTTCTTATATCCCTACCCAATCAAGTATTCACTTAAACGGGTATACTACATTCATCTGAATTGTTTTAATCCATAGAGTGGGTGCTTTAGTTTAATTACAAATGCACTCTGTGGTTTATAGTTACTTGAATTGGGTAGTGGAAGGTCGTTAGGCACTTTCATGTATATCTCTGAATCTAGATCCCCATAGATATATGTAGTAATCACATCCATAAGCTACATTTCTAATTGGTAGGTTATAGCGCACACCTTCAGACAAATGAATTGAACCACAAAGCAAGTATACAATATGGCTCAATATTGTCTTTCCAAGTAATAAAGTGGTAAAATACCGGTTTATCGTCCACAAAGATTGTAGGAAAAGTCTAATGAGAGTCCAATGAAAGAGATGATTTCAGATAATGAATTTGAAGACTTCAGTTTGATATTCAGGCAATTAAATACAAATAAAAGAATAAACAAGGATAACATGGGTGTAAGACTTATGGTGAGACTCAAACGCAAATTCAAGTAGCCAATGTTGTAGGAATGCTACAACAGGCAGTGTTTCATAACTTAGTTCCACCATTTATTTTGAGGATATTCCTCTCGGACTTTCACTATTGCACTATATTATAGCTTTCAACCCGTATCTCTATGTGGTATCTGGACCAGGGATAGTGACGAATATTGTCCTCAAAATATATGGATAAACAAATTTTGTTGTTAAAAATCACTCTCTCAAACCGATTCTCATATCATTCAAGCTAGCGTGGGTTCTAGATAGTTCATCTCTGAATCTATCGCACTTTGACACTTTTAAAGAGTGACCAACCTGTCGGGAGTTAAGTTTGAAAGACATAAATGACAAGTCTCCTTGTCGGTAACTTTCTCAAGTCTACCTCTTATATCATTCAAGCTGACGTGTATTCAATGACTTATCTCTAAGACCATGACACTTTAACACTTTCAAAGTGATCAACTCGTCAAAAAGTGTACTTGGTTTTTATAAAAACTTTAATGAAATAATGGAACGTCGTTAATGAAAACACTAGCTACTTTCTTTTGGTTTAAAAATCTTACCTTTTCGTCTCACACCCAAGCTATGAATTTAGCTACTCATAACGAAAAATAAATGACAAGTACAGAAAATGACAGAAAGTAAAGACACAAATGTAAATTGCGTAAATTAAATGAGGAAATGTAAATGACAAGAAATATAAAGGAACATAAAGTAAAGAGCGTAAATTAAATGACGGAAAATTAAAGATGAAAAGCTCATCAAGAACTTGGATTACTTCACAAAGTAAAGTCTAAAAATCAACTTATAGAAACTGATTTGGGATGGATATAACAAGAGCCCAACCCCCCTATTTATACAAAAACATGGCACAAAAAGACCAAACTTGGGGACAAAGCTTCCTAAAGTTAACTTTAAAGTACAATTAGAGGAACTAGATAGTTATAATATTCCTAACAAAAGTTAATTAGAATTTTTAACAAAAGTCAGCAACTCCAAGTAGCTTCTAGAATGTCCAAAAAGGCAGCAGCTTAATTATTAAGATCTCCAAAAAGCCATGCATGTATCAGCTTACTGCTGCTCCAATGCTGTAGCACCAAATAGTTGAATAATATTTTCCATTAGACTCCTCCTTTGAGTATAAACAAGTCAACCACAAGTTTTAGCTCCATAATAATAAAAAGACAAATAAAGTAATAAAAAAGACTCAATATAGGGATAAAAGAAAAACAATCTAACTAAGAATATGTAAAATGAGTGCTTTATATATTGAATTCTCAACATATATCACACCCCCAAACTTAAAGCGTTGCTTGTCCCCAAGCAACCAAAAAGATAACTAAAAATGACTCAAATAAACAAATATACAAGATTAAAGCATTAAGTGCACACATGTTACAAAGCATACCATTATGAACATCATAGCCCTTCATAAATCTTTAGCAAACCATTCATAGCCTAATTCTTATGTATGAACCATATGCTAGCACTCTTCCTTTCTTTGTTAAACTCAACACACCTTATATTTAGGGTCAATAGGATTTATATGGGTTTACTCTCTTTGGCTTTTTCTTCTCTCACATTTGCCTTTTTCTTATGTTTCATCATTAAATTTTTTGAATTTTTGGCACTTTGTGCTCTTTTTGATGAAAGCATGCACATTGCCCCTATGGGACATTTTTTGTGCTTTAGACAATTCCAACTAAGACATCTTTTTAGAGCTTTGCTCTTTTGTATTGATGAATTGGCCTTAGTGGAACACCCTCCCCCAAACTTGAAATGTTGACAATGCCCTCATTGGCTATATGGGGTGTGTAGTGTATAGAGGGTACAAGTGGCAATTTGTGAGTTGTGAAAAAAGGCCTATATCATTCCCCTTTGTTTATTAGTGTATGAGTTAAGTTATGTCCCAAAAAAGAAATGTGCTAGTTCTAGCAAGAATATAATTACTAGGTGAATGGCCAATATCCTCAGAATTATTCAGGCTATGACATCAAAGACAACTATCAATAAACATGCAATCTTGTAAAGAAAATAAATCTAAAAAAATGTAAAATTATCCTAGACTCAAAAATTTAAAAAAAAAATTGGAGACTAAAGAAAAGTGATTGAATCTACCCTACTCCAAAGGAGTAGGCTTTGAAGCCTGAGCTGTCATCTCCTTCTTCAACTTCTCATTCTCTTCAAACAGACTCTTATTATCCATCTTGATGGCCTTCAGAATGTTTTCACGAAAGTTGATGTTCTCACTTGTTATGAGACTAAACAAAAGCACCAACCTTTCTACAAAAATGGAGTTGTTATGATTAGTCGATGATAAATAATGTCTAATAAAGCTTATCCAAACATTCTTGTCAGAGGACAAATTGGCAGCCTTAAAGGTTTTCAACATGAAACGAGTGTAAGGCTCCAAATCAGTCTTAGGCATTCCAAGGAAAGTCATGATCTCAACCAAATATGCCTCAGAGGCCGTGTACAAAAGTGCATCATTCTCATAATCTATGTGAGGTGAGAGACTAAACAATTTATTTATGGCTTTGTCAAAAGTAGACATCTTTCTTTGTGGCTCTATGGATGTGAAGTTATTGTCATCTTGGATGATTTTATGTTGACAAAAAGAAGAACTAATCCCCTTTTGGTCGTCAATGATCAATCCCATAGCTTCTATGTGCAACTTCAACATACCAACCAACTTCTTTTCTTGATGCAATTCTAGGGTAGATGATATGTTGACAGGCAATTTGCCTTATTCTCCTAAAAAACATACTTCAATTGGGATGAGAGTTGTTTCAACTCCAAGTCAGGTGGTGATACAATGGATGGGGTGATGTCTTTCTGCTCACTATTTTCCAGCAGCTCAAATGCAGTAACATCACATGGGATACCATCATCCTCTCTTAAATCTAACTCCTCAACAATCTCTTCATCTATTTCAACACTATCCTCTTCCTCTAATTTACAGACCTCTCTAATTCTTTCCTCATAACACATTGATTCTATTTCACAAATTATTGAACACTCTTCCAAATAGTCAGGGTATTTCAAAGAATTGAAAACATTAAATGTGACTTTTTGGTCTTGAAGTCTCATAGGAAACTCTCCTTTCTAGACATCTATCAAAGTTCTTCTGGTGGCTAGGAATGGTCTCCCTAAAATGATAGGAATCTCCTTATCAGCCTCAAAGTCTAAAATGATAAAATCTGCTGGAAATATGAACTTATCAACTTGCACTAAAACATCCTCAATATTTCCCTTAGGTTATGCAATGGATTTGTTGGCCAATTGAAGTGTAACAACGGTAGGTCTAGCTTCTTCTATGCCTAAGGTGTTGAAAACAGATAAAGGCATGAGGTTGATACTTGCACCTAAGGCACACAAAGCTTTCCCGATCTCTTTCCCACCTATAGAACAAGAAATAGTGAAATTTCTCGGGTCTTTAAGCTTAGGAGGTATCTTGTTGATCAGAAGTGCACTACATCCTTCAGTAAGAGCTACAGTTTCATACTCGGTCATATTTTTCTTCTTACTTAAGATGTCTTTGAGAAACTTGACATAACTGGGCATTTTCTCAATTGCTTCAATAAGGGGTATGTTGATATGCAATTCTTTAAACACATCCAAGATTTTTTTTAAATGCAGTTCTTCCTTCTGATTCCTCAACCTTTGAGGGTCAGGTACATAAGGAGGAACTAGTTTTATGACATCTTTGTTTGTATGTGTTGAGCAAGATGAGTCCTTTTTGCCTTGTAGGTCTTACTCTCGTGAGATGTGGATGGGGTTACGACTTTGGTCTTAGGGTTTGCTATAACCTCATTTTGTAGGGTAGTCTGATTTTGGGGGGACAGTATTGGTGATCTTAGATGATTGGTCTTCTAATGGTTTCAGTGGTTTTTCAATAACAAGGGCCAATGTTGTAGCATCAGTTTTTGACAAAATTGGTTCATGATCTTTTTGCACGGCCTCTGTCAATTCTTTCCACTTCTCAGGGTCACTGCTTTCACATGTTCCTTTCCTAAGGCTCTCGGGACTTCTGTGTTACTAGGCAAAGTACCAAGGACTCTATTGGTCTGATTGAGTGCAAGTTGACTGACTTGGGTTTCTAGATTTCTGATAGTAGCACTTTGTTGATTAAAAAGAGATTGATTCTGAGAGTTTTGCTGGGTTATCAGAGCTTGATTTTGAGCTTGAGCCTGCGTAAATAACCCTTTTATCATTGTTTCTGTTGGGTTACGGGATCTCAAGCACAACGGAAAATAAAACCGTAACCCTCCAAGGATCCATTTAAACTGGAATAAATCGGGTGTTTCGAAATTATACCTCACAGTTAGCGAAACTTTGAATCACAGCAACAAACAAAGCTTGATGCCTCCACGGTATCCATGCAAACAATCCGAATCCTTTGCCTTCTCGTGATACTAGTCACGGTTTCAAAACTTAGAAAGAAAAGGGAGCATATTGTTGTAGGTGGTTTTTAGGAGAGAAAATTGCAAGAATGTTAGGATCAAGTGCTTACCCACTACACCAAAAGCAATTGCCTTGGTGAAGGCGCAACCTTATTTCCTTTATAGCGTAGCAACCAGTGCCAAAGTTCGATTTAGGAAGATGTTGGAACCGTGACCAACAACCCCCCCCAGCATCTGCCGGTACTAATAAGAGATTCGTTAGAAGTCAATGGCCGCGCAACATGCCTTTCTCATAATTATGCACTCCTTGCATATTATGCACACCATGGGATTCGAACCCGTGACCTGCTCTGATACCAATTGTTAGGATCAAGCGCTTACCCACTACACCAAAAGCAATTGCCTTGGTGAAGGCGCAACCTTATTTCCTTTATAGCGTAGCAGCCAGCGCCACGTTTCGATTTAGGAAGATGCTGGAACCGTGACCAACAAAGACAAAAAACTCACTAGCATAAAAAATGTCATACATTTTATATGGACATGGGATGTATGGCCTAGCCATCACCATACCTCCAACCCATGCCTCCACCATGCTTGAGTGTAAGACCTTCATACACCATCACTCTCTTACAAAGCCATCCCTAGTCATCTTTATTTATGTCCAACATAAATAATATCTGATTTTATTTAATCAGATTAAATCGATACAAATCAGATATGATAATTGAACATTTAAATTATTGAAACTCCTTATTCGAATATGTACAAAGCGTGTGACCCAATGGGTTCTTGACATGTTGGTAATAAATATAAATCTCATATTTATAGTTATAAACGATGAGCGGTATCTAGCAATACATCACCGTTACCCAAATGACGAGAATTGGTGATACAACAAATTATCGGTTTGTAGTCAATTTTAGTTTTACAATGTTAATTCTTTTGTCCTTGATGTCCAGATTGAACACGAGACATTGAATGTGTCATTCTCGTTATGTCCAATCTCTAGTTTCTTGATTCCTTAACATACTAATAAAAAATAGATAATGATATATCATATCAATTATCTAAGCATGCATGCATTTATTTAGTATATATTTATCAAGGGGCCTAGAGACATCACTCCTGTCATAAAGGAGGGACAAATCCTATCTCGATACATGCTAATTATATCATGTGATATGCAACATACCCAACTATCATTCTGTCACCCAGTTACTATATTATTAGAATAAATGTCAAAATACATTACTCATACATAACAAACTCCATATTCTCAAGTCAAAGAATTACATGTACATTGACCATATGARAAACACTTATGACACTKACATGACATCCAATGAAGTGTTCTCATAACGAGTCACGTCCGATACACAAAATCTCCATTTTGTACCCATATGCAGATTCGATATATCTATATGAATCCCTACATATGC